ATCCATCAAGCCCAGAACAGAGAGAAATTTGCCATATTGATCGCCAACCTCAATAGAGGAGGAGGAGGAAGTACGAATAGGAGTTAGTAAACCTATTCCTATATTTTTAAATAGGAACAAAGAGTAGTTCAGGAGTACAAAAAACAAAACATGGATACATATATTATTCAGGTGGAACTGACACTGAACATCAATATGGAACTGCTATATTAGTGTCAAACAAAACTGCTCAATCAGTCACAGACTTCATCCCTCTAAATGAAAGAGTAGCAATGTTGAAATTACAAACAGCTCACAGAAAACTAAATATTATTCAGGTCTATGCTCCAACACGTGACAAGTCAGACGAAGAAATCGAAAAATTTTATAACAATATAGATGAAATAATGCAACTGACAAAAAAAGGTGAGATAACGATGATCATGGGTGACTTTAATGCTAAACTTGGCCGTGGTGCTGAAGGAGATCACATAGAAGCATACGGTCTAGGTACCAGGAATAATAGAGGAGATAGACTTGTACAATTCTACGTAAAAAACGATCTTTTAATAGCCAATACCTTCTTCAAACAACATCCTAGAACACTATACACATAAAAATCACTTGTAGACAGAATTGTTAGGAATCAAATTTACTTCATTTTGCGAATCTGCTTTAATCTACGAAAACATACCCTGGAGCTGATATACATAGTAATCACAATCCAGCTATAATGGATTTTAGATTAAAAAGATTTCTCAAAGTCAAAAAGAAAACAGTGACAAAAAATAGTCATCTCACAACTGAAAAGAAAAACGAAATAACTATCAAGCTTGAGGAAGAAATAAAAACGATCAATAACTTGGTACAGACAGCATAATCTCCTTGGTACAGCACATGATATGCTCTTAATCCAGTCTTCTGTGATAGGTTCTTTAAATGTTTAGTTGCACCCTGTACAGCTCCAAATTTTCTTATGAGGCGTTGTTTTTGCCTTTGTGAAAACAGCTTTTTCATTTTTTTGTATCTTCTCTGCCGGTCTGAGGTTAACATCTGATTTCCTTTTTAAACTCCCTCGGTGGTAGGTTATCGCCAACATCCAGTTTGAGTTTGTATTGCGGCTTTTTTTTCTCATTTTCTTCAGTTAGTTGGTCTTTATATGGAGAGCTGGTGATAATTTCCAACTTTGTGCTTCTGCGATTTCTGGATCTAACCACAATTGATTTACGTAACGGAGAAATGGTTGTTAATTTAATATAACTTGATGATGGTCCAGGAGTGTTTGATAAATCAAATGTTTTTGTGTCTGGAGCTATATCTTTTTCTTCCAGATATGTTGGAAACCAGATCTGTTAGCTGAGGGGTATTGGTTTTGATCTGTAAAATCATTCGCGAACAATCGGATTCAGATGTAGTTATTTCGCTTATTATGGTATCTCTTTCATTAACATGAATATTCCTTAATAGGGAATTCTCAAAAATTAGAGTTGGACTGTCAAGAACATTGGGAGTATTTTCAGAGGCTGATTCAGACATTTGATGTGGTTGAATATCGATTTCAGACGTAGAGTTTTTAGCGACTCCTGATTGTACGTTAAACACTTCTAGTTCCGTAGTTTCTGCAGCTCTAGCAGGTTCCTATCGTTCTGTGACAAAATTGGCCATGAAGTCAGCGTCAGTAAATATGTCATTATTAAAGGGACATATCCCCGTCACTTTAAAACCTTCAATTGCATTCGTTATAGTAGCAGGTTTTTAAAGTATGCAGGAGCAAATATTGAAGCAATTTGGTAAACCGTAATTACCCGCCCTGGATGGTTCGTCAGCCATTTTTCACATTCGTTGGTATAAAACTATGAGGAGGAAGTGTTAAGGCGATAATGTTATATTGTCGAAAAAATTCAATTGCAATGGAACAATGGGAAGTGTGATTATCCATTATCAATAGGACTGGTTGTTTCTTTGTCGGCTTAGCGTGATCTCTAAAATGTATAGCACAATCAACAAACAGATCCTGATTGAAGAAACTACTGTCGGATACTATTTTTACTCTGGTGAGTAGAGAGATGATGGTGGAGATCTATCCAAAAGTTCTGTCTTCATTATTTTACGTGGATATATAAATGCGGGAGGAATATATTGTCCACTAGCACTCATTGTGCAATAACAATGGTTCAACAGTAACAACAGTTCAACAGTGTTAACAACACTAACATTGGTTCCCCGTTCTGCTCTAGTTATTTTATTGACACACCTTTTTCTTTTTGTATAGAAAACTTTAGGAGGCCTGTTTGGAACAGTGGAAAATCCCGATTTATACCTAGTGTAAATTTCATGTGGCGGGAATTTACATGTATTAATTAACTACGACGGATTTTCATAAAACTGCTTACACTGTGGTTCATTAAACCCAATAGAGCTGGCGACGCTAGTAGTGGTGGGTTGCCTCAAACTAATATAATTTTGAATTTCTAATTAATTTATTTCAGCGAACTCAAACGCTGGACTTCTTAGAGCTCTAGAAGTTAATCCATAAAATATGTTGTCTATTGTTTTTATATAGTTGCACAAGTCTTCTTCCATTTCTGCTGTTAAAGTAATATCATATCTCCCCAGCTTTGTATCTAAAGTTGTTCTTTTTAGCCTTTTTCTTAACCTACTTTCCGCCATTCCTATAGCATTATAGATTTTGTCACGCCTCTCTTACTTTCTCCATTTTCAACAATTTTTCTTGCTGCCTCCATAACCACCAGTGAGCATAAAGCACGCTGAGAAGTTCGTTTTCTGCCAGACATGCTTAAACAAAAGAAAAAATACTGTTAATCCATTCTAGTTTATACGAATGCGCGCGTACTCTTACAATATTAATGACTGCGTACTCTTAGAAAACGAGCATGTTTTGGCAAATGCTAATGCTGCCTCCATCTTGGTGCAAAATACGATAATTCAAAGTTTATTGCAAGTATGGTAAAATATTACCGCGAAATTCTTACAAACTAGAGTTGTGTACATATCAAAAATTTTAAAATATAATAAGAAAATAAATAAAATTAATTAAAGTTATCTAATAACGTTATTATCGGTGTTTATTTGCATTAAATGCTCAAAACACATACAATCACTTCATGATACTATGAACTAAAGATAAACCCACGCGCACGCGTTCAGTCTATCTCTTTTGCACGTGTGACGTCACTTGGCGACAAATATCACCAGAAATGTTCTGTTTTGCATGGAGTTTTATCAGATTTAGTATGTTTTTATCGTTTATCTAGTACGTTGACAAATCAATGTGTGCATTTTTGATGAAACATATTTCAGAATATTAAATTAAAGATAAACTTTTATCACGAATTGACGTCATGCGCATCGATGTACAAAATTCGATTGCGAAGTGGTTTTATGTTTTGTTTCATTAATTGGGTTATTTTTTATTTATTTTAGCGAAGGACCTTCTTGCTTCTTTAGTGATATTGTATACAGATCAAAACGATTTATGAAAAAGAAATTTAAAACTTTGGGACTTCAACGAAAAAAACGGGTTAAAATCCAAGAAACAGAAGATATGGTAAAGAAGCGTAAAAAGTCTGAAAAAAGTGTTTGTAATTGTAATCTGATTGACAATGATATTAAGTTAGATAACCTGTCTGTGCAAGATTATGGGTTAGACGATTTGGATGACCTATCAATAAAATTTAGTGATTTCGATATACCTAACGAAAATGAACTTTTAAGTGGTCCATTGTAAATGTATAATAATAAAAGTGTATTTGATTTGATCAATAAAACTATTATTATAACTAAGCTACTATTAAGACACTACCAGAGACTACTACGAGTCTTTTAACCACAGTAGACAAAACAAAGTAAAAACACAGAAATAAAAAAACAGTTTAGATTCCAACAATATGGGAAAGATAAAAAGTAAAAGTAAAAAAAGGACAATCATTTAAGAAGAATACGTTATTTATCACTCGTGGCTTTATAAATTGTCAATTTTAATTAGCCATGAGCTCTTTGATAGTATTCATCACTAAAGACAACTACGTTGTCGCTAACAATATACAAAATATTTTAAGGCCTGATTATTTTTTCCCAGTCGCCCCTACCAATTCCTGAATATAACCAGAAACATAGAAATGGACTAGTGTCTTTATTTTAGATGAAACACCAGGTATATTATTTAGTTATTGGATCCAATACAAAATACAAAGAACTTTATCAAGATATTGGATTGCCATAGTTTCATTTAACTGTTTTTATTATACAATGTATTAAAGGCACAATCCCTTCTATATTAACTTTTAAATATATAGCCTTTAAGATACCTACCTACAAAAAAATACAGTATCTTGTTAAGATACTTTTTTGTACTTATGTACATTCCATTTCACATCTGGTAAAAATATAGGCAGGTTTCATTTATTTGACATAATATCTATTTTAAAAGAATATAGGTACATCTTAGAGTACTTGTACCTACAATACATTGTTAAAAACAAGTTGAGATGCGAAAATGAACTCACTCTTCTTTATTGAAATTAGGTATAGAACCTTTTAAAGTCATAAGGAGACACGCAGATCTATTTATTAACCACCCTGTATCCTAACATAAGTTAATTAAAACTATAACATGCAATATATCAAAGTTCTGGTAATTTTGTGCATAATCCAAAAATTTTATAATATACCTAACCAATGTTTCATTTAACATAAGAAAGTTGGTATCATAGTAATTGATATATAACATCAGTCAACATCCTGTATATAAAATAACAAATTTTTATTGGAAAAAATGTGCAAAAAGTATTTTTCAAAATACTATTTACTATTAATTTTAGAGGTATTCTTATGCAACCAACAATACACATAAACCTCATTGTCAGATTGTCAGATTCAGATGTGGATACAAATGAACTGCGCAAGTCTGCACAAAATAGTGAGTCAGGATCTAGACAATAGTTTGTTTGTGCAGTATTTAAAAACCAGAAGAAAAAGAAGATGTAATAACCTGAATTTGTATTTATTGTTGTTGTTGTTTTAAATATAAGTGGTTTAAAGGATGTTTAAGACTGAATTCCTTTTAGCACAATAAGTTCTTTTATACTCAGTTTAAATGGAAATAACTGAAAAAATAATTTAAAATGCCTAGAATATCTTCAAATGGAAAAATTCTGTTAAAAGATAAACTGTATAATATGTATATGGACAGGGAGTTTGTAGACACAGAAATATTAGTAGAAGATGGAATAATTTCAGCTCATTGTGTTGTTCTGGCTGGTGAAAGTCCAATAATCGCACAAATGGTACAACATCAGAGAGCAGAACCGGTAATTTATAAGCAATTTGTACTACTTACTGATATTAAATATTTTAAAGAAACTCACTGTATTTGGTAAATATAACTTTCTTAATAGCAATTTTTAAACACCTACAGTACTTACCTACTAATATTTTGATTATAATTAAAGAATATTTTTGTAACTGATCGTGGGGTATATTTCATTAGGCTGTGAAAAATAGTGGAAATCAGAACTATTAAAAATTATTTATATTTATAATAACCATTTAGACTGTCACAAATACCCATATAAATTATGTAGTGAAAAGATGTTTGATATTGAGTTGTTCTTCATCTAAATCCTATATATGTATGCAATTGTTAAGATCTACTTAAATGTTTATTGTTTTTAAATTATTTATCCAAGTTAGGTTGAATTGTATCCAATGAATAGTATTTGAATCTACCTCTTCCTTATGAACTGTACCTCTGAAAATTTCCAATAAGCAACTTTTTATTAAAATAAATTAAATGGTCAATACGATGACTCAAAATCTTTATGTCAAATCACATCCACCTTAAGTTGAAATTATCCATAAGTCGAAAACTCTACTTATAACTTGAATTTATGGCATCTCTCGTATAGTTCAACTTATGAGGTTCTACTTTATATTAATTTCATTGATTATTATTTTTATTATAGAAAACATTAAATTTAAGACAGTTTTCAAAGTTAGTTATGAGGTATATATTGGAGTACATGTATAAAGGAGATATTATGTGTCATATAGACGATGAAACGAGATTTAAAGAAGCTGCAGAATTCTTACAGCTTCAAGGATTTAATTCTGTAAAAAGAGAACCTTCCAGTAGTCCTAGAGCAGAAAGAGTTATCACACAGGTAAGTAAGCATTTATAATATCTTCTATTGGATTATTATATGATAATCTGTTGCATAACTGGGATCACATTTTATGTAGAGTACTATTAAAAAGATACACTCGCCTCTGCTTTCACAGCTATAGCAGAAGTATAAATTAAGGGGTATATACCTTGGTAAATTGTGATAATTGGTAAATATTGTATATTTAGAGCTGATAAAGCTCAATATAACACTAAAAAATATCTGGTGGGCAATGGCAATAATGTATTATTGTAGTATAAAAGATATATGTATATAGGACAGTAATGTATTGCCGTCATTGGAGCAACTTATTATTTTACATCAGCTGAATAACCAAAGGGATTACTTTGATGTTAAATATAATTTTGTTTAATTTTATAAAAGTTTATAAAACTAATAAATATTCACTATAATCCAAATTAAAGTTGATATTGCAAGGGGTTCTAATGATATTAAGTTTTTGTACAAATAACAAAAGGATACAACCCCTTAAGGCTGATTTATAAACTTTACGTTGGTGCTGGCGTTCACCATTGACCTTAGAGCTGGCTATCATAGACTGCATTTATAAACTTTTGGTTGGCGTTGGCATTAAAGATCATATCTAAATTTCCAACACTACATTTTTTATTTGGTATTATTAATTTTTGTTTGAAAATTAATACAGTGAAAAATGAAAATGCCTGGCCTTTGTTAGGTGCAGTGGCATTGATAATTTGTATTCGAGCAGTACTGAGTCTTCGAAATAAAAGACAATGTTGATACAAACAGAGGCCCATTAACCAGATGCCCATATGTGTCTATATTCTTTACAAATAATTTAGTTTGATTTGTTCGACAAACCTTGTCACTTTTTCGGTATTGCTACTAGCTGTGATGAAAAAGATACAGTTTTTTATTATGTTCTGTGATAAGGACTACAACCACAGAAGGGTTAGTGTATTATGTGCTACAACGGCCAACGGCAAAAGATAAAGTTGGTTCATCTTGAACAATAGACATACGAGTTTCCCATTTGACCATGTTGTAACATGAACGCTAACATAAAGTTTATAAATCAGCCTTTAAAGTGATCACCTATTAGCTCTTTTTTGTTTGTTCAAGTTATGAGTAGAAAACCTACAAAGCAATGAAAGAGCTAGGAATACCAAATCAGTTGGTAAATTTAACAAAATTAACTCTTCAAAAAGTTGAATGTAGAACATGAATCCAGGGGGAACTGTCTGTGAAACTTATAGCAAAGACTAAAATAGTGGAGACAAACTATCAAAAAATAAATGTTTAAAACTTACTAGGGCAAAACCTGAGTATATGTTGAAACAGAATTCACAAAAAATGGACACAGTTCTACTAGTATATCTTGTTTCCATTTCTTGATTTTTAGGCTCCAATTGTGCCAGTGATATGTATATCAGATGAGAGCAATAGCAGTCATAGCAAATCAGACATAGAGGAAATAATTAAACCTAGGAAAAGGATTAAACTTAATAAGTCTGCAGGAAGCAGGAGTGAATCAGTAAGTTCCATGATTTTAAATAAAACACTGACATGTGTTAGTAGAAACATCGAATTTGATTTAGTTACCATAACAGTGTAATATATCTATACTTTTTATGCATGTGTTTTCTTTTTCGCATGCTATATCAGAATTATCTGACATTGGCGATCACCATTGCGAAGGCTTCTCAATCATCTGCAATATGAAATAATTGTCCTGCATTTATATATAATCCATTGTCCTGCAGATAAGACATTTTTTGATGTTTAACAGTCTTTAGCAGTTCTCTATCTTTATTGATGCTCCTTAGTAATTCTTCATTAGTTTTCCTTGTTGTCCAAGGTATCTTCAGCATTGTTTACGACAAAATGCAACCTTGCCAGACTCCTCGTTGTATAGAGATTTCATTGGTGTAGTTATATCCAATTTTTACGATAGCAGTTTGATTCCAGTACAAATTTTTATTAAAACGAATATCCTTGTCATCTATTCCGATATTTTTCAGTATTTGCATTAATTTTACATGTGTACTTTATCAAAGGACTTTTCGAAGTCCAAGAAACATGCAAATACATCTTTTCTTTGGTCACGGCATTTTTGTTAGATGTTAAGCGCAAAAAATGCCTCCCTGGTTCCCATAGCATGTCTAAAACCAAATTGGGTATCTTCGATATCTTCTTCTCATTTCACGTCTAATCTTCTTCATCTAATGAATATGAAAAATTCAAAATAAAACGTTTTAAGAGGCACAAAACGGTACACGAAAATTAAGCTATAGTATATATTACAATGTAATTAATGAATGTTGTTAATTGTTCTGTCATTGCTGCTCCACGATATTTCAGTAATTCATTTGGTATATCGTCTCTACCTGCTGCTTTTCTGTTCTTCAAATTTTCAAGTATTTTCCGAACTTCCTGTACATTTACATCAACAGCAAGAGTAATTAGATATTTTTATTATAGTATACAAGAAAATCAGCTGTTTTTAGTATGGTATAAAATGGCACTGAATGTTTGTGCCAATAAATAATTGTAAAAATAAGATTATTAGGAAAAATCCAATTAAATTTGAACGTTTCTACAAAAATTTTACAACATTTTCAGGTAGGAAGCTGCAATCATTCAAACGGAGACGTGTCCTTCGATTTCTTTATAGATAACACTTTGAATAATAATGAAATTGTTGGTGATCATCAATCATATAAATATACCCATAATAAAGTAAGCTCCATTTAAGTGTCTTGTCCTTGTTTTTTATCAACTAATCTATGTAGAGTCATTTCAAACATAAATTTTGTATTATATAGATATCGCTCAGTGTTATCGTTTTTATTTAGAGCATTTGTAGAGATATAGAATAGCCTAAAATTGTAGGGAGTGTATTTATAAGAAATGAACAAGTTATCTTAGTGCTAAAATTGCCTCCATTAAACCACCACTTCTGCTGCTTCCCATCAAGTTGTTATCGCACTACTACAACTATGCATTAGACAGGCTACATAGAGACATTTCTTCTTTTCTATATTACCATCTTCGATTCAAGATCTGTGTCTTTAAGTATATATTTTGAGTGTTCAGGTTTCACTGTCGTATAAGAGAACTGAGTAAATAGATCAAATTGATGTTGAGTTACTCCTTAAAATAGACTTTTTTTTTAATTTTTAAATGTTAAACTTGCCTGATCAATATTTTAGTTAAGGATAAAGGTATTATCTGGATTTCAAATATTTCTTATTTTATCGTATTTTTTTATTTCAACCACTGAACGATGACACATCTGTAGTATAGATACACGTACACTATTGGCGATGTCAAACGAAAGAGGCGGCACGGTGCGGTAAAAATTTGATTTGATTGATAGAAACCTATAATTTACATTACATTACGACTATCGATAGTCTCGCACCTTTAGACGTTACCTTCGATCTAAATCACCTCGGTCATAATTATTATGTTTGACAGTTTGACGTCGTATGTGTGACGTATTTCCATTTTTTAATTTAGATAAAGTAAAAACTGATTGACCACAATAAAGCAAAAATGTGAATAAAATAATTTAATTAATAGTGATTACTTATTCTAAAGTTTTAAATTATTAACCAAGAATAATTTCTACTATGATTTGAGGAGTTTCATACACTCTTTTCACAGAATAATTAGCAATCCTTCGTGGATTAGTGGTAAGAATTCGACTCTGCGACGCAGATGATTACGTATCTACAATATGTTCAAATAAGCCTTCATTAGCAGCAGAATAATAACCCAAACTGTCACTAAAGAATTATAAAAGTCTGATGGATCAGGGTTCAAGGCACGATGTACTCATGCAGGCGGTTAGGGTTCAAATCCTACACGAAGTTTTTACTTTTTTAAAAATTTGAAATTATGCAGATATTATATCGTTTTGCTTTAAATCATAAAACATTTATTTCAGTCTTTATTAGAAGTATTTATGGTAAAACATGAAAATCTTATTGAAAAAACAATGTCGTACTTTCGAAAATAAAGTAAAAATTCTTCAAACATAAAAGAACGTTCTAAATAAATGTACTTACAAAAAATGTTTAACATTAGTTAATGTTTCTGGACTAATACCTCGCATTGAATCAGAGATCTTTTCTTGGAGAGAATTAGGCCTATCGTCTTCAATTCCATATAGTTTGGATTTGATATATCCCCACATAAAAAAATCACAAGGTGCAAGATCAGGTGATCTTGCAGGACAAAAAAATCTCCGTGTCCACTAATCAATCGATTAGGAAAAGTCGCACTGAGATATTCACTGACGATGCGAGAATTATGTGCAGGAGAACCATCGTGTTGAAACCATATGGAATCGAAAGGAATTGGTAAATTGCGAAGGGCTCGGACAATTTGATTTTGCAGAAGTTCCAAGTATTTCCGCCCAGTCAACATACCGTCTATAAAAAATGGACCAATGACATGATTCCCTATTATGCCTCCCCAAACATTAGTTTTTGAGGACGCTGGGTACGAGCGACATAAATCTGACGAGGATTTCCTCGGGGCCAATACCGAGCATTCATTGAATTGTGACGGCCATGCAATGAAAACGTACATTCATCGGTGAACAAAACGTTCTCTAAAAAATGTTCATCTTGATGTGACATTTCCGTTGCAGTTTGACAAAATTCTAAACGCCTATATTGATCCCCAGGGAATTGTTCGTTGGATTTATGAAGTTTATAGGGTCGGTATCCATGTCTTTTCAAAATTTTACCTAATCTTGAAAAAATTGAAAAAATTTTACCTAAATCTTGAAATTCCATATTGTTCTCCGAGACGAGATGTTGATTGGGTAGGATTTTGCTCAATACTTGCACAAATCAAAGTGTCTCTTAGTTCCAAATCTGGATTTACCTCCCTTCGCCTAGGAACTCCTCTTGGAGCGAACACGGATCCATAAGTAAAAAAATTACGTATAATAGATTGAATTGTTGATCGTGATGGAGCCGGCCTATTTGGAAACATTTACAAATTGTTGTCTAATCATGTTGTCTGAGAATCCATTCACATGCCAGACAACAATTTGCACTTTTTCTTCGACAGTTAAAACCATTTTCACGAATTGTTTTTTCAATAAAAAGTTTCTGTTTACCGTGCAAAAACACTTCTCGATATGTTATTATTTGATGGCTTAAAGGCTTCGCTTCGCGCGCGTCCATTCCAATGTTGTCAATTGTTTTGAAAATCATTACCTGTACAGAGGAATCGATATTAACATTGAGAATTTAGTGATGGATTTGATATAAACAGTCTTCACCGGATTATTTTGCATTCACAACTGAAGACTGTATGAATTGAATTTGAATTATTTTGTATTTTCGTTTTATAACTTTGGAATAAAAATAAATTGTAAATAATGAGTTTTTCGAAAATTTGTTACCTAATATGTATCATATTTTCTATTATTTTTTTATTGATAAAACAAAAATTTTATCCTTGGTGTGAATTGAACCCCAATTTTCTCGTCAATAGACAACGTCCCTAACCACTACACCAATTTCACATACATTGATTGTTTTCGGACAAAACATACCTACCTTTATTTTAGTCAAATATTTCAGTTGAGTTATTTTTACTATTCTTCTTCAAGTGCCGTCTTCGTTCCGAAGTTTGGCTATCATCAAAGCTATGCGTATTTTTGATGCTGCAGATCTAAACAGTTGGTAATTGGTGCAATTGTACCATTCTCTCAAGTTTTTCAACCATGAATGCCTTCTTCTTCCTATAGATCTCTTTCCCATTATCTTTCCCTGTATAATCAATTGCAGCAACTGGTATTTATCTCCCCTCATAACATGTCCCAAATATTGTAGTTTGCGCTTTTTAACAGTAAGTATCAGCTCTTTCTCTTTCCGCACTCTCCGCAAAACCTCCACATTTGTTACTTTCTCTGTCCAGGGTATTCTTAATATTCTACGATACATACACAACTCAAATGCTTCTATCTTTTTGGTATCGATCTTTTTCAATGTCCATGTTTCCATCCCGTAGAGGAGAACTGACATAACGTAACATCTCAAAAGGCGAATTTTAAGTTTTAGACTTAGATCTCTTCCGCAGAACACCTTTTTCAATTTAGTAAATGTGGCTCTAGCTTTCTCTATCCTGGTTCTGATTTCTTCAGAGCAATCATTATTTTCGTTGATAACAGTTCCCAGGTAATTATATCTTCTTACACGTTCGATTCTTTGATCATGCACGGTTATGTCAGGGAAGTTTTGTGGTGATTTAGATATTAGCATTATTTTTGTTTTGCTTATGTTAAGTGATAATCCAAGTTTCTGCGATTAGTACCGTGTCATCGGCATATCTCAAGTTGTTTATTCGGATGCCATTTATCTTAATACCTATATTTTGATCCGAAAGTGCTGTGTTTATAATGTCTTCGGAGTATAGATTGAATAAGGTCGGTGAGAATATACAACCCTGTCTTACGCCTTTGTTGATCTCGATTTCCTCCGTTGTCTCTTGCTCTATTCGGATATTTACTTTCTGGTTATAGTAAATCTTAGAGATAATTCTAATGTCCCTTTTATCCAAGTTTTTTTCTACTAGCAGTTTCATTAAGTGAATTTTTAAGTAAAGAGCAATTTTTACTATTAAGTAAATTTAAAGATTTATAATTTAAAATCGCTACTAATGATTGTTTTTTACTATAATATATCTTAATTTATTCAAGTATTTATTCTAACATCAGAAATTATTAAAATAAAATATTTTTGAGGTTATCCGTATAATAATGACTGAAATCAACTAGCCACGTCTAACGTCTAAAGGTGTGAGACTGTCGATGGTGGTAATGCAATGTAATGTAAATGATAGGTTTCTATCGATTATTTCCCACCTCTACGAGTTTTATCTCTTTTTATTTCACAAGGTAACTGTGTTTTCTATCTCTTACGTTAAAAAGCCGGATGGTAAAGCACTCATCACTGTATAACATATTCTGCTTATAAGATTAAAAATAATACATTAGATCTAGTTTATAAAATACATTTTTATTCACATTAAAAATGTCTTCTATAGAAGATATTCTCGTGAATGAACGAAAGTTGCTTGTATTCGATTAAATTAGTGAAAAATGTAATTTGTTTTAACATTTTCTAATTCTTACATTAGCTGACGTTTAATTTAATTCATATAAATATGAATGATGAGATTCGTGCAAAGATCTAGCAACTTTATATTTGTTCTATAACACAATACCAACATTACCACTGCTGTACACAAACTAGTATATTATATTTTAGACTCGAACTCGGCCAATAGCACCCCTGATTGCCGATAGTAATAATAGTGATGCAGAACTAGAAGACTCAAGCCCTGATTTTTGTTTACGTGTATCAGTAAGTATTCTTATTTATCATTATTATCCGACAAGCGAGAGCTGGCGGGTTTCGCGTAGAACAAATTGAAAAGTGGAAGGGATTGCTCATTTCTATTGCAGTCGGCTAGGAGTTCACATCGTGTAATTAGTGCTAGATTTCTGACAGTGTTGTCAAGTATTTACATTTTTATTTGGAGTGGCCCTATATTATAAACTAATATTTATATTTATTAAAATGGCAAGTGTATTAAAAGGCAAACCTTTGAGATCTCAAGCACGAGAAATAATTTTCAATGTTTCTATGTTTACAACCGAAGAAGCTAATGCAGATAAAGTCTTAGTTGATTAAAAAAAAATACAAGAACGTGTAGCTCAATTAACTGGTAATTATAATACTCATTTTCAATATAAATTCAGATTTAAATCATTTGATTTAAGTTACAATCAATAAAATTATATTCAATAAATAAATAAAAACTTACAGAACAAAAAATACCAGTAAATAATAATTAAATAATGGATCAGTTAATTAGTACTTTACCGTTCACTATTTGATAATACAACGTATATCTGTAGTGACAAGCTAATTATTTCAAAAATTAAATAACAGTTATTCATGTTAAAATTTACATTATCGCAATTGGTTATGCACATGTGAAATAGAAATGACATAAAAATTGAAATGTGTTTCTCCAATATGTTTATTTACTACAGATATGCTAGACACTTTAATTAGGTATACATTTGAATACGTTGCATTTTTCATAAATGGGAAATGAGATATGATATTGTAAGCAATAACATCACAAGATAAAAGGCCGATAATACTTGAGTTTACCGTCTGGCTTAGAAAAATAAACAAAGAACGTGTGTTCTGTGGTGTGTTTAGTTTAGTAATCAATAAGACACACAAGTTGCATCAGGCCGCGATACATACAAAAGTACCTTCCCTTTGAGAATGAATTACGTTTTATGAAAACAAATTTTTTTTACGTTTCATTCAATATTATTATTATTTTTATTTTGTTTTCGTGGTAAATAAGTTTATCACACACGCAATGACACAACCACGGAACATATCTATTAACGTAATTTTCAGATCCCAACTAAATTTTTGGTACGGCAACTACGCAATTGTGACACCCGCGATTAAGTACCTCTCATATCTCTCTTAGAACAATTCCTTTTCTATTTTCGCGCAGCTCGCCCGCCAGTTCTCGCTTCTCGGACAATACACTGAAATAACTAAAACTGTCAAGATTGTTTGTTCGCGCCGTTATCTAAGCTGGGAAGACTCAGTACGGTGCTAATGCCAATTTATTCGTCCTCCTTCTCAGTCCTAATCCCTTTTGGAATGTGGTGACACACAGCCACCTTTACTTCCAAGCCATGAAGTAGAAATTTGGCAACAACGCGTGGTAGTCCGACTGTGGTTTGTTTTGGTTTAACATTTCATATAGGAAGGCTTGTAAAGTTTGTTGAATTTATTGTTTTTTTAACTTTATTCGAATGTTTTATTTGTAAATTGTGTTTAAATCAATTAGAAAATATTAATATAGGTGAAATTTCATTAAATTTAGAACTTTTAGAAGATTCTTAACGACAATTTAAAAGGCAAGTATAAATATAACCTACAAAACAAACTGAAAATAATAATACTTTTGTTTCTTGTTACAAAATATGTAAACTCAAAACAACAATAATAATACTTTTGTTTTTTGTTACAGATGCTCTGGCATTGTTGTGTACCTGGTTGCAAAACCAATTATGCCAGTACTTTAAAAACGAAACAGGCAGAAAGTACGTTTTTGTTTCCCAAAGATCCCCAAAGAAGGTATACTGGGTTATGCTCTATTCATAGAGAAGGCTGTACAATTACCAAATCTTCCGTAGTATGTGCCAAACATTTTCATTAAGATGATATTCAGCGGACTGAACAATGAGAAGATAAAGATGGAAATGTACACATTGAAAAGTTAATATTTCCCAAATTAAAAGGCAATGCAGTTCCTAATATATTTCCTGAAGTACTATAGTACTATATGTAACTGTTCATCGTACTAAAGAAAGAAGGAATCCCGAAGACAGAAGAAACTTTTTGCATAAGAAGAGGGAACAAGAGATAACATAATTATGTCAATTAGACTTAGACAATAATATCCCATTGAAAAACTGGACAAGTAAAATTACAAGTGACTGTGTATATTTTTATGTATTAAACATTAATCAGTTGGGACACAAGTGTGATAATATTTGTGTAATGTAGTGTAATAGTTAGCAGTAATTTTAGTGTAATCATCAATGTAGGTAAGGATAGATTAAGTGGTAATGATTTGAAATGGATTTTACAATATAGTAAATTAACAAGATGGTCACAATTAGAGAACTTACTTTCTCATTTAGATCTGCTTTTTAGATAAGTGATAACAAATTTGAGTATTACATTCAAAAATCTTTTGAGAATATAGGCTATTTTAAATCGATATACAAGTTATAAATGGTATGTTACATTCAACACATTTTTCATGTATACCTCTTAACTTGATCTATATGACAACAAACCTATTCATATTTAAAATTGCTACTTTTGTATATCTAAGTATGAAAATTCAACAAAAGTTATAAATAAATAGTAAAATATTTAATTTTCAATTAGATTAATTTAGAACCATATTTATATTGTGTCTGATTTCTTAGGATGAATTTTTTAATCATAATAGTTACACTAAGTTTTTACTTAGCACAAATTTTATATCTTTTGTATTTTTAATAATCTTTTTAAATGTCGTGTTAATTTATTGTGTTATTTTATACTTAAGTACTTAATATTTAAAATTTCTAGAGATTCTTGACTGCATTTGATTGTAAGATTAACTGTTTGACACTGTATTTTAAGTGCAATAAATTTTACTCTAGTGATTATTTTATTGATAATATAACCTAAATAATAATAAAACTTTATATATATTTACTATTCTTTGTTTCAAGTTAAGAAAATAACATTACGCTTATGGAGATCAGTGTTGCCAAAACTCTCAAACACTCTCTTTTGCACGGATGTCCAAGATATTCCCTTTGCTTAATTTTTAAATTTTCATTTTCAATTAACATTTAACTGTAAAAGTCAGAATAACTACTAAATAAAAGCTTTATTATCATTATGTAGTCAGAGACGACATAAAATAGCTGACATACGCACATCGTATTATTTTAAGTTGCAATTAGTAATTAGATATACACATTCCAAGCGGTCAATATTTTCTACTGATTTATATGATTCATGGCATATCGTATTCTCACCGAAAAACAAATAAACTGTCGTTACTATAATTAAAATAAGATAAGATAAAATTATCTTTTGTAAATACTATTTATCTAATTAAAATCATTTTCCCTACTTTTCATCTCTTGTTTCGAATGGGCACTTTTGGTCAATTACGTTAAAAAACATTAATTTAATTCATGTTTGTGGAAACGAAAATACAAATTATACAACCCTAAATTGTGCTTGTATGTGTCGTGGCAACGCCGCGTTGCTATCGTCCATAAGAAATACATGGGCCTATCTTCGCAATGTTATTTTCTAAACGTGAAACGTAGTATAGGTATATATAAGGTTTTATTAATTTAATTTCCCTAAAAATATTTCTGTAATGAATTGAAGTTTTCAAAATATCAGTTTCCTAAAATTCAAATTAGTTTAATATTCTGGTAGACCTTAGAGCTGATTATCGGACTACCGACGTCATAGAATGCGGTGTTGCCTTTTTTACTTCATGGCTTGGAAGTAAAGGTGGCTGTGGGTGACACCATCAGGTCTTTACAGTTTTTTCACGATTTCCCTCCATCTTTCTCTGTCCTGGGCGAGTTGTTCGGCTTCATGTAACCCTTGGTTATTCTTTATGAAAGAATTGAAGAGTGACAATAATTTTCCAGTATATTATTAAAAACGTAATTTTTAAACTAATTTTGTCAATCAGTCATTATATTTGTGTACAATTCCGATCGATTACTGATAATCTTCTTTCAGGTTGTGGTGTCTTTTTAATCATCGTGTGAACCCCGAAATTTTGTCGGTCCACATCGATATTATTATGTGGTTTTTCTGGGAAAAGTTTTTGTATTTCGTGGATTTAAGAGCCACGTCTGGTTAGATGCAGACACTCTTGTTAAATTTATAAAAAAAAAGGTTAAAATCCCTCGTGTAATTACTTATCCGCTTGTTCTACGAAGATAAAATATTAATTTGAAAATAAATGTTAATTTTATGTTTGTTTCAGAAAAAAAAATCCGTGACGAATTGTGATAAAAATAAAAAAGGTTGGTATTTTTAGACACTGATATTTGAATACTAGACTAGTTTTGAAAATGTTTAGTACTTTAAAAAATTATTTTTCGTGTATTTTTTCCGTTATTTTGAATCCTGGGGTTAAATTTTTTATTTTCTCTCCGGAATACTCAAAATTTTTTGAAATTCATTATCGAATAATACTTTTTCGTAGACGTTTATTTTCAGAATTTCAGCCAAATCGGACTCGTAGTTTTATTTTAACTGCGTGTGGAAACCAAATAGCACTTGGTGTTACCAAGGGAATGGTGTGTTTGTTTAACACATTTTATACTTCACTTACCATTCGTAAGTTATTTTTTCCATGTTTTTGTATATTATTGCCTACCACCATGGGAATATGTTTTGGATTGAACTGATGAAGCTTGTGAACTCCACAAGCGAAACGTCTTCAAAAATTGGAATGGAACTGTGATTTCCTTGTATTATTTCTCCTCTGACCGATATCCTCGAGATCAAAAGATCTTTTTCTTTTGAAACCTACTTCATTATATATATATATATATATATATATATATATATATATATATATATATATATATATATATATATATATATATATATATATATATATATGTGAAAATAGTCACCTTGAACTATTCAAGGGTTACCGACACTTTAGTTTCGCAATATCAGTTCCTATTTCATCATCCTTTTAGCAAGCGTTCCCATAGAGAATAGAGATAGCTACTCTGACCAAAGCTGGCCTTTCGTGGGAAATGCCGACACCACATTTTGTAGATAGATTATAAATTCAGGACTAACATTATATTTTTCACTCGTCATTTAAGTTTCTTACTAATAACATTTGTATTATATAATTTTATTTGCTTCATTTTATCGTATAACTAAGTGTAACTTTTATTTGTAAAATAAATCTTTTTAAAAAGTCAATCAAGAAATTAGTGATTTAACATATATATATATATATATATATATATATATATATATATATATATATATATATATATACGTTATTCTTTTTGTTCAAATTTGCCATAAAACGATCTTTATACAATTCAATTTAGAATATAAATGCCTTATATCATATTACATTCAGCTAAGATAAATTTAAACTTCATCCAGATGCATACACTTACTGGTACAGTACCCGTACTCGTTTATATTCGTGTTAGGGATCAGTTCCACAAGTATAAATAAAATACCTGTTCCAAAGTAACTGGTACGGGATCAGGTCACCATCCCTAGTGTTTATAGGTTGGATTTGGCACGTGTTTGGGTGTTTGTGCCATTTTGTTGTATACAATGTAAATTTATTACGTTTTTCTTTTGTACTCATGTGAAGTATATGTTTCCTATTTTAGTTTTTAATAGACATTTTTAGTGTATAGATTATTTTAGTTTTTAATAGACAGTTTTAGTGTATAATTTATTTTTGTTCTCTCAACTCTAGTTGTTTCAAGGTAATGTGAATAATTTATTTGTGATGAAGAATTTGTGTTGTCAAAACAATTTTTTTAATATCGTCACTGTTCATGCTAAATTTGATATGTGCATGTTTTTAATTTTTTGTTTTTGCAATAAAAATATTTTTATTGCAAAAACTAAAAATTAATAACATGCACATATCAAATTTAGCATGAGCAGCGACGATATTCCAATTATTAGTTAGCTTTCAAGACCCCAGAGGGCGCTAAACATTTGAATTTCGTTGCAATCGTCATAACGATACAGAGATCTTTCAATTTATGAAGATTAGTTGGCTTCCAAAAATGTAGATGGCGGTAGAATTCGTGACCAGTTTAGTTTATAGAGAGTACATTCTACCTAACCCTCTTACCTATGGCTCCAGGCGTTAGACAGGAGTGTATTTGGCCCTATCAAGAGTTTCTATAATACTGCCTGTGATGATTGGATGGTGACCCACCCAGGAAGGACAATTACAATATACGAAGTCGGAGGATGCTTAGCTTACGCTTTTCCGTTAGCATTTACTCCACGTGATATTGAAAGCGGATTCAAAGTTACGGGTTTATGGCCTTTCAATTCCAATATTTTTACCGATGAAGATTTTATGTCGGCGTATGTTACTGATCGCGAAGATCCGGAAAAATAATTCCACTTTATCACATTTTGATGTTGCAACACCAGCAATAGATAACAATAACGAACCCTCCACTTCTACTGGCACGTTCACCACCCCTGAAATAATTAGACCATCTTCCTCAACTAGATCGATTTCACATAATCAACAACTACGACGAACACTAATAGAGGACAAAAACCAGCCTTCTACTTCTACTGGTACTTTTACCACACCTCAAATAACTAGATCACATCCTGTAAATGGAGATACTTCACAAAATGATCAGCTACAACAAACATCAATGGAGCACAATAACCAGCCTTTCACTTTTGGCACTTTAGTAGCCCGGAAATGATCAGACCTCATCCTAAAGCTGGGCCCAGGATTTCAAAAAAGGGTAGAAAGCGAGCAACTACGAAAATTCTCACAGCTAACCCAGAAAAAATTGCGCTTGAAGCTGAAGTTAGAGCTTAAGAAAAAAAACCAAATTAGAAAAAGAGCAAAAGGCCAAAGTACGGAGGAGGAAGTGAAGTTGATTTTAAATTGAAAATTTAAATTTCATTTAAAAATCATTTTGATGCGTTACAGTTTTATGGAAGACCCAGTATATTTGTAACTAATTTTAAAATTTGAAGCTTACAGCCATCTCCTATTTTTGTAAATATTTTTTTTTTGTAACTGCTAAAATAAATGGTATAATGTACTTGGCCACAAAAGTTTATCACCCAGTATAGTGTCTTAACAAACTACCAGGACGATTTAAAATGAATATCAATTTATAGAATAATTTTTTTCAGGTAACTCTTCTAAAAAGCGAAGTGAAGAATCAATAAAGTTAAATAAAACTCATCAAAACAAAGTAAGCAATATTCCTGAAAGTACAACACCAGATAATTCATTACTTTTAATAGAAAATCCTCCTTCAATAGTAGAAATTTCCGAATTGACACAAGTTAATTCTGTACCAGTTCAAAGAGAAGATCTGGGATCGTCTGAAACAACGATACACACAGATGATGCAGAAAATTCCTCCCTAAATGTAGAACCTCCACAAAGTCCAGAAAGGAATGAGCAACCACAGGCAGAAACGAGTAATCCTCCGGATGTGGACAACGAAACTCATCCGGCAAAAAGTGATAAGGGACCAAAAGGTATATGGAGGTCCAAACACAATTCAAAGAAATTTGGTAGAAGTTTTTGTGTAATATGTAATAAAAATCTAAAACGTATTAAAACCCACATCAAACTCAACCATAAACCGTCTGTGAGGAAAGCTAAGTTTAAGTGTTTGAAATGTTATAAGAACTTTTACTTTGAAATTGTCTTAAAAGATCATCGAGAAAATTACTGTAAAGATGAATGATTATTTCAATATACTGTTTATTTTTTTAACAATGGATTTCATTCATCGAGCAAAAAGACAAAAGAGGGAATGTAAAGGCAGTGGGAGCAAAAATATTGTTAGACAGAAAGTGCCATCTTGAGAGGCCAAATTAAACAAGAAAAGAGAGTCTTTCCTTGTTTAATAAATCAAATTTAGTTGGGTTATGTTATTGTTTGTCCCAACTGTCACATGAAAGCTTATTTATATTGAAGTTTTTTAACAATTGTGTCACATTTTAGACTGTTATCGTTAATATTTATTTAAAGTTTCTCGTCTAAGACACATTCTGAAAACTATTTTATAGCTACTGTTAATAAGTGTCGGAAAATTTAAATTTGGCGCATTCGCATTTCCGGATATGCCCGGTATCATAGGCCACTTTTTTGGTCTCCTTTTCATAACGATTAAATTCTCTCTTTTGCCTTTTTGCTCGATGATTTCATTACACCCTTAGCTATAGTTTATTTTTATGAACGAGAGAGTAATTAGCATAATTTTAACTGGTACCTCCGACCACTCCATGGGCGTGCTTAAGATTAATTGAAAAATTACTTTGAATAATTGTAAAAAATAAATGAATTATTTCAGTGTTATAAAGTGTTATGTGTATGTAAACAAAAGTGACCTCTTTTATCACACACTATATTAGAACTGACTGGCCTACATTAAAAAGGGTTTTAAAAAATTCACATTTTTTTTAATTTTTAAAAATTACAAAAGAGAAAAAGAGTTTTTAAAACCATCTAAGGTATGTTAAATAGATGAATAAAAATATTAATATAAAATTTACAGCTACTTGTTACAAATCCAAATCAGATTCAGAAGATGAACTTTCAGAACCAAGATTTATAATAACTGGCTCGATCATTTTATCAGTAATATTGTCCAGCTTCCACATTTTTTCCTCTTCTTTAATAGTGTGATTTACTGCCTTTTCCCAGTTTTCAGGTTTTACATTATTTACGGCCTCCAAAACAACTGTTTAACATCATGAATTTTAAAAGTGGTATTTTTTCTTGAAACTTCACTCTTTATCTGTGCCCATACCAGTTCAGGGTTTAATTCACAATGATATGGTGAGGATCTAAGTACTGTCATTCCACGATTTTTGGCAATTTCATCAATTTCGTATTTTTTAAATTTTTCTTTATGAAGGGCACACAACGAATAAAGTTCCTTTCTTATAGAGCCGGGATGGTACGTAATATTTTTTGAACTCGGCCAATTCTGCAAGTCTTTTTTTAAGCACTTGGTTGTGGGCAGTCCTTCTATAGGTCTGGAGTGATAACTTGCATTATCCATTACTATTACACAGTTCTTAGGAAGAAGATCTATCATTTGTTCGAACCATTCTTGAAAGACATCAGCGTTCATGTCTTCATGGTAGTCACCGGTACGATTTGATTCAAAAGTTAATAAACCACCTTCAACAAAACCGTCTGAACTGCCAATGTGTACTATTATCAGCCTGCGTCCCTTTCCTGATGGTGGGTTTAAACCAGTAGATAAGTTATTTACAAAAGCGTGCCTTTGACTTGTAACAGTTTCATCCTGCCAAAATTTATTTGGTGTATGACCCTCGTTGATCCATGTTACATCAAGATAAAATATTTTTCTTTTTTGGTTTCTCATTTCCTTTATGGTTCTTAGAAAATGTCTTCTCCCTATGACAATATCGCTTCTTTCTAATAAAATAGACTTTCTGGGATTCTTTTTCCAGCGGAAGCCTATTTCTTTTAAAAGTTTCCATATCGTTCTTCGACTCATTTCTGGGTAATCCTTATCATCTCGAACTGAGACAAGAACTTTATCCAATGTTGGAAATTCTTGTCTAAAGCAGAATTCATGCACTTTCGGTCGAAGTCCTTCTTTAAAATGATATTCTATTTGAAATTTTGGTTTCCCTGGAGCATTACGTGGCATTTGAAAACTACCACATTTCTCTTCTTTAATAACTCTGTAAATCGTAGATTTCCCAACACCAACTGTACTGCTAACTAACTCAACGGTCTCATCAACACTTTCACATAAACGTTTGTCTGTAAATGATTTAAAACAATTAAATATTAATGTTTTTTCATTAACTGTTAAAGGACCAATTTTTCGGCGTTGACACGGCACTTCCAAATTTTCCATAACACTAGTATACACAATAAACTGCACCTTGCAACTGAAGTAGCTACTTTTAGTGAACTGTTAAGAATTTTGAATACGCCACTTGGACCTTCCTACAAAATGGAAAAACCCACTATCACATTTTCTGTGGAATAAGTTTAGAAGGTAATTATCTAGTCAATTACTGTCGTAGATTCTTGGAATTAAAGAATTAAATGTTTGATTGTTGAAACCCTTACTTCGTGGAATGCACTCATTTCAGATAAAATAAAACGTTTTGTTTTATCTAAAGAATTAAACTTTATTTTGCAATAGGTAGGTACTTATTAAACTTTTATTGGTTATATATAACCAATAAAATAAACATCTTACATTTCTTGCAAATTCATTAGTACCTGTTAACCTCCATCACTCCGACACTGGCAACCTTATTTAGGGATTAGTAACCCTCACAACTATTGTATTCTATTCTGCTCCAACCTTTATACCTGGTGGTCATACTCAATTTAAAATTGTTTTCCTATATACTTCTGTAAACTTGTTGACAAATATCTGTTTTTCATTGAGTCACCCGTATCAACAGTTTAGGGATTTGCATACATAATTTATTGTTTTATTACTCTCTCATACATAAAAATACACTATAGCAAATTAAAGGATTGAAACTCCAAATAATAAATATATAGCAGGGCTTGGATGGCTGCAAAATTATTTTGCGTTCCGCGGTGACTTTGCAGTAAGAGCAGCATAGGACTATGTAAATCTTATGGAACCTTGGAGGCCAGCGTTGCTGGTTTTAAGTAAGGGGAAACACTGGAAGTCCGTCTTAATAGTATATTCCATTAATTTAAATTATATTTAACTTAATATAATTTAGTTTTGTCGAATTAACGTTATGAAGATGTATAACCTGGATATGTTCGTAATTACGTACATACAGATTTACAATTCTGCCTTATTTTCTATAGTTGGGTCCACAATGTATTATTTTTCGTGGGTACCGGTATCAATTTTATTGTTCTTAAGCTGACTTTACATTCTAATAATTTACTATTGAATACTGAGCTGTTAAGCTTTTTTTGGGAGATAACAATTGAAGTAGTTTTTAATGTCCAATAAAACAACTACCACCCATTTCTTTTTGGTTGTTTTCACCGCGTTTCTTATCTAGATCACGGCTGTAATGTGAGCGTAGCAAGTGAGTGGGGAGTTGGAATAAAGGGCTAAGTAGCATAGAAAAAATAATTCGAGATAATTATTATATATTCCAAATCAAATAAGGGATAATTATTACAGTAAAGTTTGCATTTCAAATCACACCAAGAAATTGACCTAGTTATTGCATTGTTGAATATTGTTTAAACGTAGAAAAAGCATGTCAAACAGAAACTATTGTTGTAAAAAATAACAACACCCGTGACCCAAATACGAGTAATAATGCCTAAGACTACAACTCAGCGAAAACACGACCTTGGTACTAGAACCGGCGTTGAAAGTACGAGCACAATAAAACAAGAAAAAACGACGGTAGCCAGGTAGTTAGTGACAAGTAGTCAGTGATAGCTGGGCACCGTGACTGGACGCGATAGCGTCCAGTACGCGATCAGTACGGGCAGTCGGTAATTCTCCGGGGAGCGCTTATCAACCCGGCATAGTATCTCGTGTAGTCCGGTTATTGTGGCAGCTCGTAAATTCGTAACACAGGAGGAGACCCTCAACTGACCGAGTTCCAGAGGACCGAAACGTGTCGTGGTTGAAAGCCTAAATACACATAGGTAACAGATTTCTATATACTAACCTGAGTAATTATAATAGTACAACTGTCAGCTCTTCACTCCCTAGCTCCTCGTCTCCCGACGCGCAGAATGTCGTGTTAATGATGTATTTGTAACTTCAGGGTAAATTCAATATATTGTAGACTCTAAATTGGTTTTTTAATGTTCCTTTCGTCCGACTCATTAGAGACTAGGAGAATACGAGATTCTGCTTATGCATATCTCCGACTTCAAAAGTAAGCCCATAACCTCTGCTCTTTACAGGACCTGAGACCTAGGAGTCCTTACCCCTATCCCGAAAATCCCTTATCTTCTCGTAAATCCACGAAGACGAGCCAGCCCTCCAGACTAGTGTGACCAGTATTCCTTGTAGCCGCTCGCAGGGTTAGCATCCCTTGAGGATCTATAAAGTATTACATCTGGCGACAGCCAGAAAGTGTGTGTATTAAAAGTGGTGGCAGCGGTCCCAATTCCTTTGTGTATTACACGGCGTCGACTGCTGATCGACCTTTTCTGAATCCATATTGTTGGTTCGATAGAGCTCTCTTATCTGTAAACACGCCGTCCAGCCTCTCCTTGACAAGATTCTCATACAACTTGCCAAGGCAGTCTAGAAGGCATATTGGCCTATAAGAGGATGCTGAATCGGGGGATTTCCCAGGCTTTAGGAGCAAAATCAATTTAGTTCCCTGGGAAAATCTTGCTTCCGCAGTAGATCGTTATATATTTTTATATATAATATTATAATCGTTTCTCTGTTGTTACTATCTTCAGTGCCTCCGCTGGCAGTCCATAGGCAGTGAAAGCTTTCCCCGCCTTGATTTCTTGACCAGCGGTTTTTATTTCTTCTTCTGTGAATTCCTGAAGAAATGTGCAATATGTAAAATTCTTATAATAATTTTTAAGGCAGATTAATGTTTCATGGAAATTAAAAACTGGTTTTTGAAATGAAACGCAACAAATAGTAATATCAATAATATATTTCAGTAATTTTGTAGCAATATATAACAGCGAATTCAAAAACAAAGCACATTTTTATATTTTTTAACAGTCTGAAGTATGTACACCTTTATACTCTGAAAAAGTTTTTAAAAGTATTAGTAAACATTTATGGTATATCACCGTATGTAAATCAATGTACAAAAATAAATATATATTTTTATTAACACAAATCTATAAATAACTTAATTTCTTACTATCAAGAATCAACATTTCCGTGATTAAGTTCTCAATCCGGAAAAATGCAAACAAATATTCCCAAAATAAGTGAAACTCTGTAATTTTCGTGATAGGTGAGTGGATACCGAACAATGTGGGTTTGACTCCCACTACAAACAGAAGATAAAATTTTATTGATCATCAAGTCGTCCCTCGGCAAATAATGTCAAATCTCCCAGTAGTAAATTTAACCATTTCTGTATTAACATATATACACTTGGAAAGTTTTTAACGGAACATATGGATTTTTAATACAATTACTGAGATCCCCTGATTTGCAATTACCCAGTGAAAATTTCAATACAATGTCGCGATGTTTTATAATTAGCATGTTTGTTCCTCTGGATTGCTGCTCTTCTGCGATTTGTAGCAACGTATTCGGCAGGCGTACGTCGACACTGTTGTATCGTCTACCGATTTTCTGTGTTTTTGTGCAGATAATAATAATGTTTTATTAATAACAATTTTGTTTGTGTTCATTAGATATTATTTGAATTGGTTAATGTATAGTTTAATACACTTATACCAAATATTGTTGAAGGATGTATATTATGATATATCGAAATCTACAGATTTTTGTCGAAGGTATCTACCGATTTGCCAGCAGTCTCAAGGAAAATCACTGGTCGAGCAAATCAAATACCTTTGCCCTTTGCTTCTTATTATAACGCCATAAGTTGAAATTAAAGTAGTGTTTCTAACCATAAACCATATATACGAACGAAGAAAAAGTACAAATTTTAAAATGGTATTTTGGTTGTGTACCAAACTGTTGAAAATGTACGGATCTACCACGAGAGAAAATAATCAACGAAGTTCGGCAAAATAGGGAAATTGATGTTTCTAGTGTTGCTGAAACTAATGATCCTTGTTCAAGCAAAACTTTTGCAGAAGTTGACATGAATGATAGGACTGTCAGGAATATTTTAAAGTATGGTTGCCGTTCTGTTAAAGTGTCAACAACTCTAGCCGAGGACAATTATAAACGCATTGAATTTTGGGAACTGGTGATGAATAAACAAAATGAAAATGAACATTTTTTTGAAAAACATTTTGTTTACCGATGAATCGACATTTTCGTTACATCGGAAACATAATTCTTTTGTCGTACGATATTGGTATCGGCATAATAAACACTTGAGTATTCCAGTACGAACACAATATCCCCAAAAATCAAATTATTCCAGCAGTTCAATTACTTCCTGTCAACTTTGACGATATTTGGTTTCAGCAAGACGGCTGTCCTGTTCACAATACACGAACAGTTCAAAATTCTTCTCGTGGTACGATCAAGTGGCCTCCCAGATCACCAGATTTATCCCCAAATGATTTTTTTCTTTGGTGATATTTACAAGTAATTGTTTATCGACATGGTTTTAAAAGAGCCCGAAATTTAGCGGAATTGAGAGACAAAATAATTAATCTTTAGACCGGAACTGCTCAGGGATATGAGAGTATCTTTGTACAACAGATTTGATTTTTGCTTTGCAGAAAGAGGTGGAATATTTGAACCTCTATTACGTTGAATTTTTGTTTTTAATATTATTATGTTATTTTTGGAATTCGTTTTTATTTTAATTTTTAGAAATCTACTTTTTTTTTCATGCCATTTTGGCAATAAAATATAACAATTTTTTTTTAGTAAAATAATATAGTAATTTTTGGCGAATTGACATGTATAAAGTGTTCCGTATAAAACATGGCGACGTTATATTGAAATTTACACTAGTTAATTGCAAATCAGCTAATCATTGTATTGTTATAAAAATGTTCTGTGTTCTATGTTCTGTAAAATAAATTCCAAATCTGTATGTGGACACTTACGACATCACAACTGAATTTCATATTGTTTAGACATAGATTTTAATGTATATATTTGCTTTTCATCGTTTTCTGTAGGATGCACCCTTGTAAATTGGACGACATTTGGAAAAATAAAGAAGCGACATATTCATTTTTATAAAGGTGGTTGTATTGAAATTAGTAACAAGGCGTTATAAATTTGATGCTTTTTTGACGTAGATAATACGTCAAAATTGCTCTAACTATCATAGTTTACTAGTAAATGAGTTTTTCTTGTTTACTGGAAACCGGTACACTTCCACGATGCAACTTGCTCCACGCATCTAAAGGTAGAACGAGGCATACAACTACGCATGTCATAAAAGACAGCCGAAAGTGGATTTGTCTTACCCCTTTTTATTCTAGGGGTTATTATTTATTTTACTACAGTAATTCATTGACACATTGAATTGCGTTGTCTGTTTAAGTGATTTATAAACATTAAATAGGCAATTCTGGTACGTAGTATTATATGATTGTTTCCAGTATTCTGGTAGAAATATCCAGTACAATGATTAATAAGGACTTAACAAATCATTCGTGTCAATGTGTATCCGTTTATCTATTTGTCTCACGAGTATCATAGGAGTTTTGTAACTTCATATATAGGTACATAAGTCTTGGTCCTCGCATAAATCAACAGAGTTTAAGAAAGTTAGCCTACAAAAGACGCGGGATGTTGAACCTGGGGTTAATTTGCTGTGGGATCCTTCGATACCCGCTTATATGGGTTTTATTTGGTGTAATTTTTTGTAAATTTATTATTTTTTATCCTTACACAACTGTATGGTAGAAAGAAAAAAAAATTTCTAGTGAATACCGCGGAATGGAACTTTGTTTTTCAAATTATGGTGTAAATAGGAAGAGGACACTGCAAATGCCGCATCTCTGTTGCCTCTTAATATATACAGTACATTCAACCACCGTACACCGCAAAACGATTAACGGAATTCGCAGAAAACCTTTCGTTGTAGAAAAAGGCATCGTAAACTCCACTTGTGTTCTCCATAATGTTTAACACTTTGCTAAATTTTAGGTATAAAATAAATATATGTGTCATTAACCCGTTGTTCATAGTTTTGCATATTTTTTTACATGTTTTTAATAAATAGTATTCTTGCATAATGTTATTTAACGTAAATGTCTTTCACCTACTTGTTTAATAATTTATTTCTGAAACAAATACTACCGTGCTCAGAATAATTTATATTTAAAGTAGATTCAGAGTAAAATCCAGGTCAGCTAGCCGAATGAGCTGTTTTATTAGTAATTTACAATGTGAACAGATTGATTGAGGCATCGTAACGATGAAAAAAAGCATAACTACCCCTATTTTAGGTAATTTGTTTGCATTTAACCGAATTTTATACTGAAAAAACCCTTCTTTCTCACTTATAGGAAAATACTTAGATTTCATTCCAACTAGCCATGCAAGAGTACGCAATAATACAATTTTGTCGCCTTAATATCAAATTTTAATACATACGGTAAAGGCGGCTACCAATCGCGATTGTCAGTAAGCGATTTTTTTATCAATATACAAGAACACAGATGTGACCTGATTTAGAAGGAATTTTCTTTACCACCCTGCAGAACCTTCTTTTAATAGGTTAATATGACAGTAGAGAGCGATTTGTCAATTTGTTTGTTGTTGAGAGAACGCCAACGAACGATTTTGTTAACAATGAGTAAACTGACTTGAGATTTTATTAGAAAGGCGTCGAATCAACTGATACAAAGGTCAAGCCCGTATTACCTAGAATGTATGAAATATCGGACACATAAGGTACCTCAAATAATAGTGTGCATAGAAATTTATCTGCAACATGCGACAATGTGGACTTTGGCACAATTTTGTGGTTCCAAATAAACTTAGGTGAACCAGAATACAGGCAGAAAATGTGGACATATATTTTCCCCTTATATTCTAATCTTAGCAGGATCTTGTATATAGGAAGAAAATATTTTTTCCTGAAAACTCCTTCATACTCCTGTTAATACAACAGGTAGAGCACTACTCTCTGTACTAGTCCTAGATAGAGCTGGTATACGGGGCGTACGCTAAAAGTTTTGTACAGAGCCATCTAGCGGAAGTTATTAGACTTTTAAATATGATTTTCGTGAATTTTGATATTCCTTATGGTAAACATTAACAGATTGACAATCCAGTGCGAGGTTTAGTAATCACAAATGTTTAAACCAATCAATTTCGGTGAAAAAAAAATGGAAATCTCGTGAAAGTTTTCGTTTGATGATTTTATATGATTTTAAAGTTGATGTAACTAGAAAACAATGCGTCGATCGACTTCGTTTTGGTTTTCGTGATAAAGTACCAGCCTCATCCACTCTTTACACATATTTGAAGGATTCACGCGTGGACACATCAGTATTACTGATGAATTCCGTGAAGGCCGTCCGTATACAGATGCTGCACAAATTAAATACAAACAATTTTGCATGGCCATTTAGCAGTTTGAAAAATGTACAGTCGTTGGGTTCCTTATAATATGACTGCTGCCAATAAGAAGATACGTGTCGATTGGTACAGCGCGACCCTTAATCGATACAAAGGAGACAGCTCAAATTTGGTATGAAACATCGCGAATGGTGATCAAAAACATCGATTTGGTGGACCATCCTGCATATAGTCCTGACTTGGTACCATGTAATTTCTTTTTATTTTCGAGAATCAAAAACAAGCTACGCGGTAAAAGTTTTAAGACGCCAGATCGAAGCATACAAAGCTTTTCAGCTATTTCAGATTGGTATAAATACTTCGACGATTGGTTTTTGCTAATGCAAAATTGTATCGATCTTTTTTATTTTTCTTCTTACTTTTTTTCTATTATTTGTGCAAAACTTAGAACACCCTTATATAGAACAAAAAATATAGTCTCTCTTGAATGCTGATTCATGGACCTATTATTTGTTAATAAACAGTGAAGACACCATTTCCTGTCATACCAGACATTCTCCAATGTGTTTTTCCTAGTCTCCTTTGGAACCAAGTAAAAAACCGTTCAAAAACCTCTCTGAAAAAAAATGCAAAGTTATCAGTCGCGGCTGATATTGTTATACATAAACGAAGAGCTAAAAAATGTTACTCTAAAATAAATTGTGTTAGAGAAATGAGCAATAACAGACCAGACATTATGGTAATTAGTTTTGATTTTATGTAAAAGGTACAGTTGCCTGCATTACCTGTGCAGGAAATGTTTTACCTGCGTAAACTATGGTTGTATGTCTTTAGTGTCCACAACTTAACAACTAATAAAGTAGTATTTTATACCTATCATGAGAGTAGGAAAAAAGGGCCTAACAAAGTTTGTACGATGGTATCTAAGTACATTAAAGATAAAATACCCCCTGAAGTAAAAGAGTTACATGTTTTTAGTGACGCTTACAGTGGTCAAAACCGCAACCACACCATGACAGGAAGATTTAACTTAATTCACCATTATTTCCCAGTGATCGCGACTTTGCCACATCAAAAGGCGCTATTCTTAAACATGACCGTATTTTTATACCAGATTAATGCAATAACATCATTCAAGATGCTAAAGTAAAAGCACCAAGATTTCTAGTAGTACCTATGCAAATTTTCTTGATTTCAAACAATGGTGGCCTTCGATAGTCAAGAAAACTACAAAAAGCCAAGAAAAGACACAAGATTTTAACATCAGTAAATTTAAGCACTTCCCGTATACCAGTGAGAAATATGGATATGTCTCGTCCATTCATTGATTCATTCGTGGTTGGAACTTTCAAGTTCTATAAAGGAGGAAGAGTGGAGCTTCCCACAGATCAAGTCTATCACTCAATGTTGCCAGTGAAAGCTAACAAACATTTCTACGAACAGATCCTAGTTGGGACCAATCGATTCCAATTTAGGGGAATGATGAAAGTGTTATTAGTGATTTAAGTGACGATGAATAAACTTTATAACAGCATTTAAATGTAAATAACTAAGTTTATAGTATCAAAATAGCGTTGATTTTTTACTTGACTTCTAAAAGGATAACATTCCAATAAGAAAAATAGTAATTACTCAATAAATGTGTACATATAAAATTTAATTGTTACATAAATATGTTCTGCTTGCTCTATACTACAAAAAAGTAACTATGCTGTTAAAAATAGTTAAAGAGATAAAACGTTTATTTTAATTTTCCAAAAGTAAAGTTTTTGGAATTTTATCCTTTCACATTTCACTGATTCAATTGTTAACATTAGGCCGTTGGTTCTTAGCTATATTTGTTATTAAATACGGCCGTGGTGGGTCTAAACACAGCCTTATTTATTGCACTATGTACTGTAATCGCAAGTAGTTTTATTTGTATTCCAAACAGGGCTGATTGGAATGAAGCAGCAACTTATTCTCCATGAAGTTTGTCTCCATTACTAATCAAATATACCTAATGTGATGTTTGCATTCAGTTATTGGGATTTAACTATTACGTTACTTTTACACCTGAGTCTCCAAATTGATAATCTCACCTAAATAGTCAATATATCACCATTTTTACAATTTAGGAAATTATTATGGGGAAAAACAGGATTCTACTGTATTGGGTTAAGTCTTCATCAAAATTTTCCTAAAAAAGTTTAATTTGGTTTAGGCACAACAAATTGGCACATTTTTTTCAATTGGAAAATGGACTAATTCCGAATTTTATAGAACAGAAGTACCCAAAGTTTTTTTTTCAGAATTTCAATTTCAGTATATTCTTGGATACCAAAAATCGCTCATTGCGCAGGTAACGTAGATACTCATTAAATCAATCTTGTCGCGGTTGAGAAGTTTCTTAGCGAGCGCTCATTGATTATAAGTTGCCTAAGTATATGATCATTGTCAACATATTTTATTTATTATAAGTTGTACCATCCCAGCGTAACAGGGAATCGATCTAGGGACTTTAATCCCGCAAGTTCTAATGAAGATTCCAAAAAGGGAGTCGAAAGCTCGACACAGTTGGAGGAAAATATGGACAACGAGAAAAGAAATAGAAAATATTTTGAGCACTGCAACAAATAGATCTGGTGCAGAAAAACGAAGTTTTTGGACGTGCTCCTACAGCTTGTAAAGACGTTTTGTCCATATTGAAAGATAACACATCAAAACTACGATTTTTATCAACAATACCAAATATCGAATTGCCATCAAATTGTCTTTTTATTGTCATGGATGACGTCGTTATCAGTATTGTTAAATATGATTCAATTTTTACTACCAAGTATATCATAATTAGAGTAAATTGTGGAATTTTCGTGTAAATTATGCAATTCAGCCATTTCACAAATCATTAAATGTCCCAATTAAGTAGAATCCTACGAAATTTCAAAAAATATTTACCAAGTTACTTCTTAGGAATTTACAAACCGTTTTGTTGTTCTAAATTATTTTTACGTTACATTTGCATTTAATATTGTTAACTATAAACTAAAAATCAATGCACGAGTACTTCTATTCTTGGATCAGGTATCCCAAGGTAAGTGTCTCCTAATGATAGGATATTGGAAACTGACAGAATTGTCTTAAAATAGAGATTTCGGCTTTATAGAAAAATGTAAGCGGGTGCCGGGATAAGATTGCAGTTTGATTGCAAGAGTGAAGTATTAATAAAATGGTTCTGGTCAAAATGCGTATAGAAAGGCTTCCAGGTAAATCTTTTCAGACCAAAATATACCTTGTCCAAACTCAATAAAATTATACTGAAACGATAGTATCTCCTTGCTAAAATATTCAGAAGCACAAAAATATCCTGCGTTCCAATTTTCAGGTAAGGTTCACACCCCTAAAGATTAGTAGAATAAGGATAGACTCTTTGGAAACTTGAAAAATTAATCGGTAGATTTCAATGCGCTGGAAACAAGTCTAAATTACTTATATTCAAGAAAAATGAAAACAGCTTTTAACACGTTGACTGCCAGCGTGCTCGAAGACAATCTCTTATCTTGAGCCACACTTTAGGAAGTACGTCTTGTGGCGTGATCAGCACATCAGCAAGCAATCTGATTAAATGCGTCATGTGTCTCTGCAAAAAGAAACAAAAGTCAGCGGAAAATCTGTAGTTGATTTATGTGAACTGATCGTTCCACGGAGGTTCTTGGCCTTAGGTAAAGTTACAACAAAATGAGAAATGTACAGTCAGGTTCAGATTCCTCAGTAATCTAAATTTGCCGATCGAGTACCAGAACTTTTATAAAAAGACACAAAACTGTGTCACAAGCTAAAGGGGAAAAACTTCTGATATAAAATAAATAACTCCATAATTCTGAAGGATATTCGTATAGTTACTACTCTATATACGAGATATAGTTAATCTTCAGACATTTAATATTTATAACGCACAGTAAATATTAACTGACAGCATTCCAATTATCTCAATATACAAAAATGGCACCTTTTCTGAAAGATGAAGCTTTCAAGTAAATAACAGCTACCCAGTTATAACTTTCCAAATAAAAAACAATATCTGCTGATTCGTTTTTGGTTCTTTATAAACTGTCTCACTACGCCAGTTCATGCCAGAACGGTACATAAATCATTTTTCAGTTTACATAAGATACCTTTACTATACTTTTCGATATTTCTATAGTAATACATGGTGTGTGAAAGAATAAAAAGGAAAAATGAGAGAGGAAATCCTGCTTTCATCTGTTAGTACATAGAATCCAGTCTTTCTTTAATAATCCGACTATCTGCGCCAGTTTAAGTCAGATCGGCTCAACAGTATTTAACATATTGTACGAGTTGCACAAGGCTTTTACTGTAACTTTCGATATTTCCGAATCGAAGTCGTTTTTACTATTCATATAGTAAAGATACGTGAAATAATCAAAATTCAGCTCTCATTTGTTCGTACAAATTATACAATCGAGTGTGAAGATATTATTAAAGATTTGACATATCAAATGGATATGTGTTGAGGTGTAATATTGGCATAAAGCAGGATGTTGAACTACATTCTCTTGAAGACCCAAGAGCTTAAGATAGAGCAGAATGTTCTGACGTGCATGATGTGTTAGAACCCACGTGTCGTAGAGAAATCAACATAATCAGACGGAAGAAATCGCAAAGTATCTACAAAGAACATTGGAACGTCTGAAGAGTATTGAAGCTAGCATGAATTTTTGGTATTTTTGTCATCCATTCTTGGAGTTTAAGTATAAAAGTTTAAATTCTTTGAGGACATCATATTAATAACAGAGCTAAAGATAAGAATACGAAATAGTTATTTGTTCTCCGTGTTACTTCGGAGTAGAAACCAGTACAATAACAAATATTATACTTAAAAATCTCCACTTCCAATTATGGTTTTATAGAAAAACATTGAGAAGATAGCTAGCAAGGGAAAATAGTGAAAAAAGATGTCCAGTAGGAACACCACGGATGTAAAAACAAAAAGAATTGGTAGTTTGTCTGCCTCAAAGTTTGTGCTCCATCCAAACTACGACATGTTTCGAACTATATTGGGGCTCGTCAGACAGTGGTATCTAGAAGTTAAACTCGAACAAAAGAAGGCAGACATTTTCGGAACATTGCGAAAGTCGAGTATCGTTCGGTAATTAAGTTACTCTCCACAAAACGGGTAAAACGAATGTGCAAATCAAAGCCGACCTGGATCTGGAGTTTATGGTGACGTTGCACCTTCGTTAGCAACAGTAAAATTTTGGAAAGCTGAATTTGTTCGTGGTCGTACGAATGTTTTTGATGATGAGCGTCCCGGGAGGCCAAATGAAGTCACCACGCCGTAAATGATCAACAAAGTCCATGACACGATTATGGCAGATCGTCTAATTAAGCTCCGCGAGTTAATAGAGGTCCTACGAACATTCCTACGAACGCTTACACATCATTCACCATCATTTGCAAATGCAAAAACGTGTGACCACTTCGGGGACGCTTTTGGCGATGACACGGCGCGCGATACGAAGGAGTTTTTTCGCCGATTTATCACCGTTGATGAAACCTGGGTGCATTATTACACACCGGAAACCAAAGAACAGTCGAAACAGTGTCGGAAACGCGGAGAAGGGCCGCCGAAGAAGGTAAAGAGTGCACATTCGGCCGGCAAAGTGGTGGCGACTGTTTTCTGGGATGCGAAGGGTATCATCCACATCGACTACTTGGAAAAAGGAAAAACAATCAATGGTGAGTACTACGCAGCATTATTGGATCAATTCGATGCCGAATTGAGTGGAAAACGTCCCGGTTTGGAAAGCAAAAAAGTCCTCTTTCACCAAGACAATGCACCGGCTCACCTATTGACCGTCGCCATGGCAAAATTACATGAATTGGGCTATGAATTGGTTGAACACCCACCTTATTCTCCAGATCTTGCCGCCAGCGATTTTTTCCTGTTTACAAACCTAAAAAAATGGCTCGGAGGACGCCGTTTAGCAACAAATGATGAAGTCATCGCTGAAACTTCGGTCTATTGTGAAGAGCTCGAGCAAAAGTATGTTCGTATGGGATAAAAAAATTGGAACATCGTCTTACTAAGTGTATAGAGCTAAAAGGGGACTACTATGTTGAGAAATAAATCGATTTAATTCCAAAAAACGTTTTTTTTTTTCAAAGGCTAGTTTTATATTAATCCACCCTCGTACACTGAACATCTGAAAAATTAGAGATATTTCAAATTTTAGGCTTGGTTCGCAGTTCAGAGACACAGTAGGTTCCATTTTCTGTCATCCAAAGTAAATGGCGCCTACATTCTCATTTCTGCTGAGCGTGATAGCTAATGTCCTCTAACCGGAAACACCACTCCAAGAAGAGAAGATCCTCATGTGCACTTGTTAGTGTTAATCTGCAAATATCTAATGCAGAAGGTCAGGATTTTATTTTTTGATAAATTTAATTAAGTAAAAATAAGTTAGACTGCTTTAGCGGTTTGAATTCTGAAATGCAGGTTATACAAAAGTGAATACGATGTATAAAAATAAATTTGTCCAATATCTATCTTTTTACACATTTCTAGCATTTAACCAAAAGTTTTGTTTTATATGGTGTAACAATCTATAATATAAATATATAGAAGTGACTGAAAAATTAGTAAAAAAACCTTAAAAAAAGTAACTTTGTAGTAGAATACGCACCATCTAGAAAGAACCAGTGCAGCTTTTTATTTTCGTACTGCTCCAACATTAACAATGTTGACACCGATCACGATAAGACACTTTATTAAGAATATCACACATCAAAATTCTGAAATACTAAGATGCACTGCACTAGTTTTTCCTAGCTGGAGATTACTGTAAAAGCCACTTGCATTGGCACAGATAAATCTGTTGCAAACAAAACTTTTGACCAATAAAATAAGTCGAAAACAAATAAATCCCGTTTATATTGCACTATTATGAGTTATTTTACGTTTTTCTGTAATCAATACTATTATATATCGGCTGTTACCAAACAAATGACAAACATACTCTTCTAAAAGTTCTCGAATGAACTACACGTCTACTTTCATTAATCCCGCCTGACTGTTCGTACCTAAACTAGACCCATCCAACGAATCTAAGTCTAAAGCACTCTCGATCATCGTCGTGTCTTGCAACAGTCGCAACCTACTAACACTCAACAAACTGTTTTCCTTGTCCTGCACTGTCATATCGTTGTCTAGCCTCAAATCGGCAAGTCGTCCTTTTTCGTTGATGTTGACCAGTACGTGGTTCTCCCTCAATATCACAGGATCCAAATGGAGGTCTTCCATGTTCAACGTAATGTCTTTCGCGCCGTTTTCTTTCGAGGAAGACGTGGAGTTTATATTGTCGATACAGCTTTGTGATTTGCTGAGTTGCGCGGTAGCGGCGTGCGTTGGGGTTATGTTGTTGTATACCGGGGAGTGGTTCAAACTGGTTTGCGACTGATACTGTTGCAAGTCCCCGTGGGTTCTCTGTAAATGCACTGCGGCGGGAACGACGGCTAGGGGCTGTTCGCTAGACACTAAGTGGGTCACGCTACCCGTGTTGCTTTCTGAAATAAAAAAAGTCACGTATTTATTATTGTTTATTAAAGATTACATCATGAATAAAAAGGGGGGTAGACAAAGAGTGCACTGGTGCATATTTAACGTAACTATATTAGAGGTACAACACTACAGTATCTACGACATTAGAGGTACAACCAAGTCAACCTAAGTTATTTATTTTTGGACATTAAAAATAGGATGAACAAGGGATTTAACGAACAGTCGAAATAGGATGAACGGATTTAATAAACAGTCAGATTATTGTATCATCTGCATATCGCAGGTTATTGATCTTGACTCCATTTATTGAGATGCCTTCATCAATATATTTTAGAGATTTTAGAGAATTTGCCTGTTCTGAGCTGACCGTTGAATGGCGGCCGAAGAGGACATCCAAGCACCCGAAAGTAACTCAGAGCCTCGCCGCAAGACGGTTCCGCGGAGGCCAAGGCACGGGACCGAACTCGGATCCATGAAACCCAACTCGTAAGAATTAGGCTCACTTCACCTCGACCAGGCCCGGCACGTCAGCCGTGACCCGCTTCCTCGCCAAGCCAATCCTTATCCCGAAGTTATGGATCCAATTTGCCGACTTCCCTTACCTACATTATTCTATCTACTATAGGCTCTTCATCTTGGAGACCTGCTGCAGATATGGGTACGAACCGGAGCGAGCCTCCACGTGGCCCTCTCCTGGATTTTCAAGGTCCGAGGGGAAGATCCGGACACCGCTGCAATTGCGGTGCTCTTCGCGTTCCAAACCATATCTCCTAGAGTATTCCATGGAACTCGAAAGCTTATACAGAAAAGAAAACTCTTCTCGGATCTCCCGACGGCGACTCCAGGTCCTTTTGGGTTACCCCGACGACCGTGATCAATATCTTCATCATTCTGACTTTGAAATTATCTACAACTGGTACATGATCAGAATTTATGTCTGCCTCCGGATATGTTTTGACAGATGTACAGCTGTTCCTATACCTCTTATTTACTAGCATGTAATCAATCTGATTTCTTACAATCCTTCCCACAGAAACCTGTGGAGATTTCCAGGTGTACAGTTTCCTTAGGTGGAGCTTAAACCAGGTGTTCATTATTACTAATTGATTTGCTTCAGCAAAAATCTCCAACGTATCTACCCGATCGTTCCGGTTTCCTAGACCATATGGTCTAACTGCAGAAGATGTTTTGTTGGCCCCAACTTTGGCGTTTAAGTCACCCATGACAATTATTAGGTCTTGATTTTTCAACCTTTTCACAACTTAATTAATGCTATTGTATAGTTCTATTATCTCTTCTTCTGTTCCTTCTGTTGTAGGTGCACAGACTTGAATTATATTGATGTCGATTGGTATTGCTGTTAGTTGTATGAGCACCACTCTTGCTGAGATTGGGATGAAGTTGTCAACAGATTTTGCCACTTCTTTTGTCAATATAATGCCGACACCCGATTCATGTTTGCCGTTATCTGTTCCAGAATAGTAAACGCGGTGCTCCGTGTTCCCCGATATTTGCGCTTCCTGGACCTGGCCAACGCATTTCGCTTATTTCCAAAATATTCAATTTCATGTGTGCCATTTCTCGTATTGCAATTATGGATTTTACCTTCCTGTGCCATGGTTTTCACGTTCCATGTGCCTATTCTATTTTCTTGGCATTTTAATCTTTTTGTTATAATTGTAACTGTTACTCCAGGAGATCCCATTGAGGAGCTTACTCCGGAATTGAATTTCGCTGTAAGCATAGCCATTTGATTCTACTAGGAGTTATCCAATTAGCATCTTTAATATGGTATCTTGACTCAATCTTTCTTCCTCATCTCTATGCCGTTGACCGCTACCTCGGTTCTTCCGCCTTTGAAGCCAGTTTCTTAACTCCTCCACCCGAAGCTGTTGGCCAGTAAACGGGGGATTTCTTATACCGGTAATCGCTCGGTGAAATTTTCGACATATCTGGCTACCCTCACTTAGTTTAGCCTGCAGACGAACGCAGTTGCCCACTCAATGTATTGTAACGATGAGTCCAAGCCATCACCGTTAAACCAGCGTGCGCGCGAACCAACCCATGAAGTAGGAGTGTATCGACAGTAGAAAGGGCAAAACTAATTACGAAGCTCCGCTATATAAACCGCAACATTTCCTCATAGAGGCAGAATCGACAGGTGTTGACTGAAGGTTCTCTTCTTCCCTACCCCGGCTTGTGGACGTGTTGAGTTCACAAGTTGTTCCGTTCCATACCGCCGTTACCCGAAGAGCGTGTTGAGCTCTTCATTACCCGTACTCTGAAGCAGTCGTGTTGAGACTGTCGAGGAGTGTCCTATTAACCCGAATCACTTAAGGAACGTGTTGAGTTCCTTTCCTTTCTTTGTACCTATCGTCCGCTGTTATTAAATCGATACAACGTTCTCGTAAAATTTCAAATACACACTCGCTTGCCGATAAGACTAATTTCATATGACAAGGTCAAACTTAATTTGAATAAATAGGCCAGGTACTGAGAAGACTAAACCGAATTGTAAATATGAACATAAGATTTTTGTCAATTTAATTTAAGGAAGACAATAAAGTTTTATTTTTATTTTGAACTCTGTCTCTGACTGTCCAAAAGCTACCCGGATAGTGACTCCTACGAGAGGACATCACAGTATTATTATTTACTCAATTATTGTTCACTCAACGTATACGTTTTATCATATTTTTGACTTTTCATGGTATTTTTCAATTATTCATCTTTGAATTAGATTATAAAAAATGCGCTGAAAAGAAATTATAAGAATGTGATCAAATTTCCAGTGGAATAGTCCACATATTCTTTCAAAGTCGAAACTATCAATAAATCTACCTAAATGGTATACAAAATCAACACTTACCAATAAAACGTGGTCAGAAAACTTCCGTCAAAGTAAGAAATGCACAAATAAAAAATCAATCAAGTTAATTTTAAAAATTATAGCATAAAAATAAATAGGATGAACCACTTCGAAGAAACGATGCATACTAGAAAAACAAATAACTATATTAACGCTTGTTTTGTACTAAATTTTTTTTAATTGGATTGTCATATATAGTGCCCCCCCCCCCCTCCATTAGAAGAGTTCATGAATTTGAATTGGTCAAATTTGAAGTTTTTATTTAAAAAAATTATAAATTAGGAAAGTACCTACGCTTATAGGTATTTTTAGTACTTTTTATTGACATTTTAATTATTATATTCCATTTTTGGGTAAATTAAGTAGCTACTCATATCTATTCTTTGTTTCAAGTTAAGAAAATAACATTACGCTTATGGAGATCAGTGTTGCCAAAACTCTCAGACACTCTCTTTTGGACGGATGTCCAAGATATTCCCTTTGCTTAATTTTTGAATTTTCATTTTCAATTAACATTTAACTGTAAAGTCAGAATAACTACTAAATAAAAGCCTTATTATCATTATGTAGTCAGAGAACGACATAAAATCGCTGACATTCGCAAATCGTATATTATTTTAAGTTGCAATTAGTAATTAGATATACGCATTCCAAGTCCGTTCATTTGCTTTTAAAACTTTAATAGACGGCAAAATGCATAATTTAACTAAGCAATATTTTCTAGTGATTTCTATGATTCATAGCTCACCGAAAAACAAATAAACTGTCGTTACTATATTAAAAATAAGATAAAATAAAATTATCTTTTGTAAATAGTATTTATCTAATTAAAATAATTTTCCCTACTTTTCATCTCTTGTTTCGAATGGGCACTTTTGGTCAATTACGTTAAAAACCATTAATTTAATTCATGTCTGTGGAAACGAGAATACAAATTATACAACCCTATATTGTGCTTGTGTGTGTGTGTGTGTCGTGGCAACGCCGTGTTTCAATCGTCCATAAGAAATACATGGCCCTATCTCCGCAATGTTATTTTCTTAACGCGGAACGTAGTATAGCATTATCATTAACATCACTGGCTGCACAGTATATTTACTACACATTTCAGAATTCAGAAATTTTTTGTAATCTGGCAACAATATCAACTTATAGTGTATTTTTATGTATGAGAGAGTAATAAAACAATAAATTATGTATGCAAATCCCTAAACTGTTGATACGGGTGACTCAATGAAAAACAGATATTTGTCAACAAGTTTACAGAAGTATATAGGAAAACAATTTTAAATTGAGTATGACCACCAGGTATAAAGGTTGGAGCAGAATAGAATACAATAGTTGTGAGGGTTACTAATCCCTAAATAAGGTTGCCAGTGTCGGAGTGATGGAGGTTAACAGGTACTAATGAATTTGCAAGAAATGTAAGATGTTTATTTTATTGGTTATATATAACCAATAAAAGTTTAATAAGTACCTACCTATTTGCAAAATAAAGTTTAATTCTTTAGATAAAATAAACGTTTTATTTTATCTGAAATGAGTTCATTCCACGAAGTAAGGGTTTCAACAATCAAACATTTAATTCTTTAATTCCAGGAATCTACGACAGTAATTGACTAGATAATTACCTTCTAAACTTTTCCACAGAAAATGTGATAGTGGGTTTTTCCATTTTGTAGGAAGGTCCAAGTGGCGTATTCAAAAATCTTAACAGTTCACTAAAAGTAGGTACTTCAGTTGCAAGGTGCAGTTTATTGTGTATACTAGTGTTATGGAAAATTTGGAAGTGCCGTGTAAACGCCGAAAAATTGGTACTTTAACAGTTAATGAAAAAACATTAATATTTAATTGTTTTAAATCATTTACAGACAAACGTTTATGTGAAAGTGTTAATGAGACCGTTGAGTTAGTTAGCAGTACACTTGGTGTTGGGAAATCTACGATTTACTGAGTTATTAAAGAAGAGAAATGTGGTAGTTTTCAAATGCCACGTAATGCTCCAGGGAAACCAAAATTTCAAATAGAATATCATTTTAAAGAAGGACTTCGACGGAAAGTGCATGAATTCTTCTTTAGACAAGAATTTCCAACATTGGATAAAGTTCTTGTCTCAGTTCGAGATGATAAGGATTA